TTGCCCGTCGCACTACCAGGATCATACTGTCTCTGAACTCTCATTATCTCATTTTTGAAGGCCTCCCACTTTCCAACTGTCCCTTTCCTGCAAATAGTCTCTCCCAATCAACTTTTGAAAGGTCCTGCCTAAAACCATCAAAATTGGCCTTATTCCAATTTAGAATTTTAACTCATAGATCAGCTCTATCCTTTTCTATAACTATTTTAAAACTAATAGAATTATGATCAGTGGCCCCAAAGTGCTCCCCCACTGACACTTCAAATAATTATTATCAACAAAGTACGAATATTATGTTTTCAGATTTTAACACATTGCCTGGATAGTTTGTTATACCTTACTAAAACAATTGTACTTTGACATCAGAATTTCTCTGTAGTGTTTTGTTTATATTTAAATCCACATATCAATGCCGTATTTGCATTTCAAACATAACTCATTTATTTTCAAATGCAATATTAAAAGATATAAACAAATAGCACCTGTAGTGGCAATAAATTGCTCATTTATTTGATGTTTCAAAGCATTTCACATTGAAATCCATTTTTATTTGATATATCTAACAGAAATTCCTTGAGGTAGAGTTAATTCGTGAGAACAACTGAAACCAAGTCATCTTAGCATATATTCAAATTATTAACTTCTCAGATTAGTTACTTGTCCATTATAACTCTCAAAACAACTGGTAATATGCAGTGAAGCACATAAAATATGTGCAATGAATCTATAAAAATGGCTTAAATAATTACTTAACTGGGATTTTTTTAAAATATAAAGTTAGTCCCACTTTCCTAGGGCTCAATTTTTAGACAGAAGTAACATGTACACACATTGCACCCATGTGATCTCAGCAAAATGGTGACAGCCATTTGCTGCTTCATTTTGCAGCTGAACACCTTGACCAATCAGAGTCAAACTGTTTGGTTTGAAGTTTTAATAAAGTCTGGCAGTTAACTGTCAATCAGTATTAATGGGTGAATTCTCTATTGTAATGCCTCACCAATTAGAGTTCATTTGTCAGCCAATCAGCAGTCTCCTCTCATGCAAAATAAACATTGGTTTTCCACTGAATTAGTATTCTTGCAAATTGTCCTGTTGAGTGCAAAATGGAAAGCTTCAATAAAATGTCTTTTTTCAGCAATACTCAAGTTCAACGAAAACAATTTCAATGGAATTAGCAGAAAAAAGTACCGGTTTTTGTGATGGGGCAATTTTTAAATGTATCAGTCAACCTAACTGCCATAACACAATGCAATTGGCAAGGGCTAAAAAAGCATAGAATTGTACTATGAACTGTAGGATCCCGAAAGTGCTGGAGATCAGAGGTACCTTTGGTGTGCATATCTGCAGATCCACAAAGTTGGCAAGGCAAGTAAATAAAGTGGTTAAGAAGATGAGGATACTTGCCTTCATTAGCCGAGGCATAAATATAAATTTGGGAGGTTATGCTGGAACTGCAGAAAATATTGGTAAGGCCAGAACTGAAGTGTTGAGTGCGTTTCTAGTCACCTCATTAGAAAGGATGTGATTGCCCTAGAGCGGGTACAGGGAATATTTACCAGGATGCTGCTGAGCTGGAGAGTCCGAGTTGTGAATAAAAATTGGAGAGGCTGGTGTTGTTATCCTTGAACAAAAAAGATTGAGAGCTGACCACATAGGGATGTATAAAATTATGGGGGACATTGATAAGGTGAATAGGAAGGTACTTTTTCCATTAGTTGAGGGGGCAGTAACCTGAGGACATAGACTTAAGGTAAGAGATTGAAAGCTAAGAGGAAAGTTGAAAATATAAAAGCTTACATGATAAAACTTGGCAACAAGACAGCACGGTGGCTCAATGATAGCACAGATACCTCACAGAGCCAGGGACCCAGGTTCGATTCCACCCTTGGGCGACTGTCTGAATAAAGTTGCACTTTCTCCCCGTGTCTGTGTGAGCTTCGTCCGCATACTTCAGTTTCCTCCCACAGTCCAATGATGTCTGGGTTGGGTGAATTGACTATGCTAAATTGCCCATAGTGTCCAAGGATGTGTAGATTAGGTGAATTAGCCCGTAAAATGCAGGGTTAGGGGCATGGGTCTGGGTGGGATGCTTCAGAGGGTCAGTGCACACTTGATGGGCTGAATAACCTGCTTCAACACTGTAGGGATTCTATGAGAAGTAGCCATTAGCTGGCAATTCAATTCAAAGAAATCCATAACAAACTTCTGTGCTAATGCATTGAAATCTTGCCCTTCCTTCACATTACCAAAGTTACTTCTGAATGTGAATTCAGGACGTGCTTTGTTTCCAACTCTACAATGACTCACTGTTAATAAATGCTTAACAGCATTTGTTTGGGAATTTCATGTCTCACATTTTAAAAGAGAATAACTACACAGAATAGCAATAAGAGTGGCTTTTCACGACTGTGGTGGGTACCTGGAGTTGGGAAATTTCTTGCCAGAACACACCCACTTGGTAGAAGACAGTGACAATATCTGTGCGCCAAAATGGTCGATGTGAATCAGAGCCAGGCCCTCTGACGCCACGTGCAGCCATAGCAGCAGCTGAGTTCCGAAGCAGAATGGGAAAAACGCCTGCTTCACCTCTCTGGTGTTCCATTTGTTTGGTTATATTTTAACCCTAACTTTCCCATCCAGGCCCAGACTACCTCCATGCACTATAGCCCCACACTAGCTCAATGCCTCCTCATGTATCTGCACCTTCTGATCCCCAGACGCCATGCCAACTCATGGCCCTTCTCTATCCATTCACCCAATGTAAAGAACCAATGAGCCCTATAATCACATTTGCATGTATAAAACTATTTACAATAAGACAAAAACCATTAAGAATTATGCATTCTATGCTGAGAGCCAAGTCTCCTAAAGGTTTATTTGAGTGGGCAATTGTTTAAGCAGCTGGAAAGATGTATTTATTTTGCTTCATTGCCACATTTACATAGTTATAATAAGATTTTTTTCTGTGATGCTTTTTGTCAATGTTTCAATATCTGTTTTCACAGGATTAAGCAGTATGATGCACTTAAAGCTCCTGACATTGATACTTTAATGTTATGTAGGCTTATGTCGGCTTGTAGGAACACCAGTTGTTGACAAAGAATTATAAATGGATATTTTTTCTTAGCATTTTTACGAATGCCATTGTTGCTATATGGTTCCTTGGTTTAGTACCTAGTGCACACTGGCTGAATGGGCATGAAAAGATCATGAGTTGACATAGAGACGGTAAAAGGCAGTGGGGGTGGGACATAGGTTCACATAGAGAGGGCATGGGAAGCAAGGATAAAAATACTTTTGAACTTAGCTTTTAAAATGTTCCTGAATCCCAAACATTGCTCATAAAGATTGTTCTAAAATAGTGAACCATGTATCATAAAAAAGCTCACCATATTCTGTGAAAATTGTGGGAGCTAGGAGACGCTTATCCCCACAATAGAGCCAGCCAGGTGGGGTGTAGGATATAGGCTTGCTATCTGCCACATTTTCCTGAATGCGCAAATAGAGTTCGGGGAGGGGGACAGGGTGCAAGGCAAGGGAAGGGTTGAGGAGAGGGGAGCAGCAATTCAGCCCATCATTTCTTAAAATTTGTGTAGTCACTCCAACTCTTCAAAAGTTCAGACTGTAGAGTTATATACTACACTGAAGGTGGCTTATTGAGTTCATGCTGCCTCCCCATGGAGCAGTCAGTCTCACTCCCCTAGTTGGCCCCTATAAATCTGCAAATTTATTTCCTTCGTGTGCCTAACTAATTTCCTTCTGAATTCATTGATTTGTTTCCACATCGACCAACCTCATAGTCATTGAATTCCAGATTATTACTATAGGCTGCATTTTGTCACATTTCCTCTACAGCTTTTCCTCAAAAATCTTAAATCTTTATCACACCATCATTCTATAATCAGCTAATGTGATGGAGACAGATAAAATATCTATTGCCATCTTCCATGTGCTTGCTAATCTGGTGCTCACATCCAATTCGTCATTAAAATTAGTGGTCGTAGTAAAATATCTCTCTTGCCAACATAGAACATTCATAAAGACTTACTCTTAGTGAACATTTGTAAGGAAATTTTATTGTTTGTAAATATTAAATTACAATGCTATCATGTAACATTTGTGGAGAAAGCACATGATCTATGTTTTCCAAAGCATGCAAGTGCCTTAAGTGCCTTCTTTCACTTTGTAAGATATAGAAGCACAACTGCAAATGGATAGAAAGTTTTTTTTATTTGCTTCCAACAAAGCAAGCAGAATCAAACATTAACTTTTCAATGTGTGCCTAAAATAAATTGAAGGCATCGCAATATTAAGCACATCTAAAATATGGAACGGCAATTAATAGTTGAATGTGAGATGTTTTGTAAATATAAGCATTTAATTATGGATGTTGCATGTACTATCCTAATCAGGAATGCATGTTGCTTTACTGCAGAAAATGCAGTTGTGCCAAAAGAATACGATGCAGAGACAAACAGTTAACAAAATATTGAAGATAATAAACTTTGGCTTGATGCAAATCTTTTATTTAAATAATTTTCTTCCATAAGGTCTCTGTACTCATCCTCTTTTTCTTCCCATGTGAATTACTCTGTACAGAATCAAGCAATACATATCAAATCGCCAGAATGCGTAAGTCTTCCAAAGACATGAAATGCTTGCTCTCATATGTCATCATTTCATGTTCTCGCCTTAAACACTGACAGTTTTCTCCCCACGGAAAATGTCAAGTTTAAGCATGATTCATAAAAACAACAAACTGCAGGCTGTGAATTGAAGGACCATGTTTAATATGCACCTGCTTTTGATAGTTGTTTCATAAATCAGTTATTCTAAAATTCTAACATTTTGATGTAGACATGATCATATGGAAAGACTTATGTCAAATGATATTGTAAAGTGGTTGTAATTCTGTGAGAAGAAATGTCTGCACCTATTGATAGGGTTACAATAAGCTGGTTAAAGTATTACTAACTGGCCTAATAACATGCCAACAGGTTAGTAAATCAGGATGGAAGTCTCCCAGACATTGGTATGATGAATCTTAATACCAGTGCTCAAAAAGAGGAAAGAGTGGAGGCTAAACAGCCAAATGAGGGTGAAGAAGATGATGATGATGATGAAGAAGAAGATGAAGACTGCACAGGTGATTTATTTTTCACTTACCTTTCTTATTTATGTACAAAAACCTTCTTTAGTCTCAAAGTAGCTTGAAAAGACTATATAAGCAGCTATTTCTGTTGTGTCTGTTTAAAAATAAGTAGAGATGCTGATCCATTATTAGTTGATTGATATTGTTACAACTGACACACACACACACACACACACACACACACACACACACACACACACACCAGGTAAAGGGAAAGAAATAGATTTGTCTGCAGAGATTCACTTTGTTTAAAAAAATTGTTTTTGTCCAATGTCCTCAGTTCTTGAAAGCAAAACAAAGATAAAATTTGACATGTTTATATGTCTGTCAGCCTAATCTTCTGGTGCACACAAACAGATGTCACTGAATGCATTAATTTGTTTCTGGGTTCTTTGCAATCCATAGACTTCTTAGGAAGTACAATGTTGATAAGTCTTCCAGTTGCTCTTCGAGTGGACGATCAGGTTTCATGCTGGATTCACCACAAAAAGCTTCTTCAAACACATGAGACCTGAGCTCCCTTTCTTTGACAGGCTGACTACAAAGTACTCCAAAAATATTTTCAATTTATCTCTTCAAATGTGTTACAAGACATCGCCAGAACAAGTGAGACATGAATTCAGGCCTTCCCGTCCAGTGGAAGGGACACTACTTCCGCACTCTCAACTTGTCCAAACTATATCTAAAGCTCACAGTGAAAACTTGATAGGCAGGCATCTCCTTGTAAACAATTATCTCATGACTCAATACATAAGACATGTGACTACCAAAAAATACCTTCATAAAAAAGTTCCAATATCCTTTCATGGACCTTGTTAAAAGAAAAAAAATCCACAATGCTTCAAATACAAGTCCACAAAAAGTTTGTGAAGACCAAAAGACTATAAGATATGGGAGCCACATTAAGCCATTGGACCAGAGTCTGTTCTGCCATTGGCCTCCACAGCCTTCTGTGGCAATGAGTGCCAAGATTCAGCACCCTCTGGCTGAAGAAATTCCTCTTCATCTCAGTTCTAAGCAGTGATCCTTTCACTCTGAGGCTGTGCCCTGGGATCCTAGTCCGTCCTTCGATTGGGAACATGTCGATATCCACTTTATCCAGGCCTCTCAGTATTCTGTAAGTTTCAATGAGATCTCCCTTAACTGTCTGGAGTCCATTAAGTACAGACCCTCAACTGCTTCTCATAAAACAAGCCCTTCATTCCTGGGATCACTCTTGTGAACCTCCTCTGCATTCCCTCTAAGGCCAACACATACTTTCTTAAATAGGGACCCTAAACTGTTCATAATATTACAGATATGGTCTGACTAGAACCTTGTACAGCTTCATCAGCTTACCCTTCTCTTATATTCTAGTCCTCTCGAAATGAATGTTAACATTGCATTTGCCTTCCTAGTTGCCAACAGAACCTGCACATTAACCTTAAGACAATCCTTAATTAGAACTCTAAGTCCTGTTGTAGTTCAGATTTCCAAAATGCTTCCCCATTTAGAAAATAGTCTACACCTCTATTCTTCCAATCAAAGTATACTTTCCCACATTGTGTTTCATCTGCCACTTCTTTGCCCAGTCTCCTACCCTGTTCACGACCTTCTGCAGGCTCCTTTTCTTCTCAACACAACCTATCCCTTCACCAATCTTTGTGTCATCTGCAAACTTAGCAACAACTCTTCCTTCATCCAGATCATTATTGTATAACATGAATGGTTGTGGTTCCAACACTGACCTCCATGGTACTCTACTAGTCACCAGCTGCCATTCTGAATAAGACCTGTTTATCGCCACTCTCTGCCTCCTGACAATCAGCCAATCTTCTATACGTACTTGAACTTTGCCCCTAAAACCTCAAGCTTTTATCTTATTTAGCAGCCTCCTGTACAACACCTTTTCAAAGACCTTCTAGAAGTCCTAATCATATCTATTGGCTCTCCTTCGTCTAACTTGATCATTACCTCCTCAAAGAATTTTAACAGATTTGTCAGGCCTGACCTCCCCTTGATGAAGCCACGCTGACTCAGCCCTATTTATCCATGCACTTCCAAGTACTTGGCAATCTCATCCTTAATAATGGACAGTAGAATCTTACCAACAACCGAGGTCAGGCTAAACAGCTTCTAATTTCCCATCTTCAGCATCGCTCCTTTCTTAAACAAGGGTGTTATATTAGTCATTTTTCAGTTTTCTGGGACCATCCTTGACTGCAGTGATTCCTGAAAGATTCACAATCTTCTCAGCTATCTCCTTCTCAACCTTTATCCACCTTCAGACCTTCCAGCTTCCCAAGCACCTTCTCCTTTGTGATCGCCACTACACTGACTCTGTCCACTGATACCCTTGAAATTTTGGTATGCTACTGATATATGCCACTATGATGACATGCAAAGTTTCTATTCAGTTCCTCCGCCATTTCTTCGTTTTCCATTACTACTTCTCCAGCCTCACTTTCCAGTGTCCCAATGTCCACTCTTGCCCTCTCTTGCCTTTTATATATCCAAAAAAACTCTTTCAATCTTATATTACTAGCTAGCTTGCCCTCATTTAATCTTTTCCTCTCTATTGCTTTTTTCGTTGACCTCCACTGGTTTTAAAGGCCTCCCAGCCCTCTGGCTTTACACTAATCTTCACTGCATTATATTGTTTCCTTTTGCCTTTATGCTGTTTCTGACTTCCTTTGTCAGCCAAAGTTGCCTCAACCTCCTCTAAGTATGTTTGTTCTTCCTTGGGATAAATCTCTGTTATGCCTCCTGAATTACCTCCAGAAACACCTACCATAGCTATTCCACTATCTTTCCTGCTAGGATCCCCTTCCAATCAACTCCAGCCAGCTCCTCCCTCACTTGGAAACAGTGAGGACTGCAGATGCTAGAAGCGAGAGTCAATAAATGTGGAGCTAGAAAAGCACAGCCAGTCAGAAAGCATCCGAGAGCAGGAAAGCCAACACTTCAGGCCGAAACCTTTTGTCTGGACTGGGGAGGGGGGAGGGGAGCCCAGAACTAAATTGTTCTGGGGTGGGGGTAGGACGTTCAAGGCAAGGTAGTTGAGATGGAGGTATACGGATGCAGGTAGGGGGTTATTGTGGTTTGTCAGTGGGAAGGGTGGATAAGTGAGTCAGAAAATGGACAGATTGGGGGAGGAAAGATTTTGAAGCTGGTGAAGTCAATATTCAGTCCATTGGGGTATAATCTTCCAAGGCAAAATATGAGGTGTTGTTCCTCCAGTTTACATGTGGTCTCACAGGAGGCTGGAAGAAAGCAGCAGGCCAGGCAGCATCTGCAGGTGTTTTGTTTCTAACTACATTTGGCGTCACTCTGACAATGGAGGAGGCTAAGGATGAACATGTCACTAGGGATTTGGGGGAGGGAGTTAAAGTGGATGACAGCCAGAAGATTGATGGTGCATGCCTTTTGGCCTTCCTGATATAGGGGAGACCGCATTGGGAGCAACGGATATGGTAGATTTGTGTATCCTTAGAAGAGATTTCACAGTACGGTTTGTGCATCCTTAGAAGAGACTTTGCAGTACGGTCTTAGAAGAGACTTTGCAGTACTTGGGGACTGGTTTGTGGAGCATCTGCGCTCTGCATGCACCAACCAACCTGACCTTCTGGTTACCATCCACTTTAACTCCTCCTCCTATTCCCCTGGTGACATGTCCAACCTTGGCCTCCTCCGCTGTCAGAGTGAGGCCAAATGTAAACTGGAGGAACAACACCTCAAATTTTGCCTTGCGAGCTTATAACGCAATGGCCTGAATATTGTCTTTATCAGCTTCAAAAAGTCTCCTCCCCCAACCTGTCCATCTTCTGACTCACCTATCTGCTCCACACTTCCCACTGACCAACCACAATAACCTCCTACCTGCATCAACCTATCTCCATCTCACCTACCCTCCCCCCAGCCCCACAGCCCCGCTTCTTCTATTTATTTCTGGACTCCCCTCCCCCTCCCCAGTCCTGCCGATGGGTTTCGGCCCAAAACATTGACTTTCCTGCAGCTCCTCCCTCATGTCTTTGTAGTTACACTTACTCAGTTACAATACCATTACATCTGATTCCAGTTTCTTCCTCATGAACTGCATGTGAATTCTATCATATTGTAGTCCCTGCCCTACAGGTGCTCCCTCACGTTAAGCTTCCTAATTAAATCTGACTCATAACACATCAAATTCAGAATTGTCTGTACCCTAGTGGGCTCTACCACAAGCTACTCTAAAACAATTCCATAGTCATTTCACAAGTTCCGTTTCTTGAGATCTGCTACCAACTTATCAATTAACCCTAAACAAACTATGATAGAAGCTGATGGTATGACCTGGGACTGAAAGTTTCAGGAGTCACCTGTAGTTCCCCAGCTAGCATATGAAGTGTGTGCATCTGACCTAAAGGAAATTGAAAGATACAGTTTTGTCATTGTAAGAATGTTGTTTTAGTGTTCCATTCAGTAGGACATCCAAATGCCGTAAACTATTCCCTAGATAAATATAGAAGTAGAGTTCTCAATTTAAGGCTCCCTAATAACATCCATAATTGTTCTTTCTCCAATTTTTCTTCTCTTTTGACAAGTGTCTTGGCTGGGTTTTTGTGATAGAACTTTCATTCTAGTATTATGTGGTTTGAGTTAAAGGTAATTGGTAAACTGACTTGGCTGCTTAAATCAACATTGTGCATATATTTAATGAAATAGTTTTCTTCTATCTTTGTATTTAGAGGAAAGAAATAATAAATGGCACCTTGTAATTGATCGACTAACAGTGTTGTTTCTGAAATTTATGGAGACTTTCCACAAACTGCAAGTTATGGCTTGGTGGATCTTAGAGCTACACATAATCAAAATTGTATCCTTTTACATCATTTGGATTACCTTGAAAGAGGTCAGTGTAAAAACAGAATAACAACGTGTACATGGCTTTTGCATTCTTCTGTGCCATTCAAGAGCCTAATCATTTCCCAGTCATTTATGCCCCACAAAACCAGCATTCAATTGATACCTTTCCACTTAACTACAAAATTAGTAAAATATCAAATTAAGTTGTACATGAAATTGTAAATTTCGTCAGTTCAATAAGTGGTCATTTTGTACATCCTGCCTGTGCTGCTTTGTTTTCTAGAGCAATCCGCCTCTAATCTCACTATCTCACTATCTCACACCTAGTGTTGTAACAAATGCCATCATTTCACTATAGAAATTTCTCTTTGGTTAGTAGAAATGATTTGTTAGTTCTGTTTACCAGTTTGAGTCTTCACTGACTGAGAATTGGAGCTAAAATGTAGGGCCAGTATTTGCTCTCGAAAGGCATCTACCTAATCATATCTACCAATGATTTGACCTGTCTGTTCTCCAGAATAAAAGTAAGTTTCTGAAATCGAAAGCCAATAATGGTGCTGCAAGAAGGTAAAAACATTTGGAAGCTGATGAAGAGAATACTCATGAAGTTATTTCCTTATTTAATTTAAGGATTGGAAAATAAATATTGGAAGAATTGACATGGAGGGTAAATTAGAAGGGTTGAAATCAATGTAAAATCAGGCACAGAAAGGGAAATAAAAGATGGAAAAGAAGTGAATGAAAAAGAGATAAAAAGTAAAAGGGAAATACGTTGTAATATTCAACATTATTTAACAAAACAATAAAAACCTGCAAGAATGAGCCTCCACACTTGGGATAGTTAATTTTCAGTGCCAGATATGGTGATATACCAATTACCACATCACTAAAAGCGACCAGATTACATACTCCTAGTCTTATGTTCCTAAATATAGGTAGAATGGAAAAGGATAACAGAATCCCTTCCCTGAAGTGATCTCAATGGACTTCTACAACAAATCCAATAGTTTCATTTTTCATTATCACTATTTCTCTCATAGCTCTTTATTCCAGATTTCAACTTAATTAAAAATTACCTAGGAAATTACCTTTCCTAGCTTCTATGGTGGGATTTGAATTTTTATCTCTAGATTAATAATACAGTAACAAATTATTCTTTTTGCCAGAGATAATAGGAACTGCAAATGCTGGAGAATCTGAGATAACAAGGAGTAGAGGTGGATGATCACAGCAGGCCAAGCAGCATCAGTGGAGCAGGAAAGCTGACGTTTCAGGCCTAGACCCTTCTTCAGAAATGGGGGTGGGGAAGGGGGTTCTGAAATAAATAGGGAGAGAGGGGGAGGCGGATAGAAGATGGATAGAGGAAAAGATAGGTGGAGAGGAGACAGACAGGTCAAAGAGGCGGGGATGGAGCCAGTAAAGGTGAGTGTAGATGGGGAGTTAGGGAGGGGATAGGTCAGTCCAGGGAGGACAGACAGGTCAAGGGGGCGGGATGAGGCTAGTAGGTAGGAGATGGGGGT